CTACCTTCCAACCAAACCAGCCTGCTTGCTGTTCCGTGAACACAATTTTCCCCTTCCTCTTTAGCCTTTGCAACAGTCTAGAGCCCATGTCTGAAATTAATTCTCTCCTTACTTTTACCTTTCCCAAATCTTGTTCCTTTCAAAGCTCAGCTATATGCCACCTCCACCTTTGCCCTCTCTCAGCTGCTAACCACCCACCCCACCCTCAATTACTTTGTGTTTACTGTGTACATATTGCTTCCCAGATAGAAGGTAAGCTGTTTTAGGGATAGGGGTTATTTTGTTCTTGTCTTTTGTATCCTTAGTGCCTAGAACAAAACAGGTGTTTAATAAATGCTTGTCAATTGATTGGTTTGATAACTTAAGGTAGGAATTCAAAGATAGTCAAGGCGTGCTGCGCCCCCCCCCCCCCCCCCCCCCCGTCAAGGCCTTTAGGGAGGCACTGCCCTTCCTGGTGCTTGCAGTGAGGTTTCGCTGAGCAGCACTGCGTATGGGAATTTCTGTTCATGTATGTGTGTGTTCATTTTGCCCTTGTCTCTATGCTGGTGTTCCCTGTGTCTGTCCATGTGCGTTTTCTTCTGGGTAACTGAAGGAGCATATTCAGAAAAGTAGAAGAATAGGCTGGGAAAACAGCATGCCTGCTACCTTTGGACCCTTGACCAATCCCAGTCACTTAGTTAATCACTTGATATCACGACAAAACCTTTAAAACTTTAAAGTTACTGGGTAGGCCTTCTCCCCGCCCAGGGAATTGGAGCTGGTGGCTGCCAAACAGAAACCAGAAAAAATGCCTATTCCCCTTTCCATCTGGGTTATTTCACTAGTTGCAACTCTTCTCCTAGGATGTCATTAAGGTGGACAATGGACTGTGATTAAACTAAACTAAAGGAAGTGAGCTGGGAACACACTACAGTCTGGGAGGAGGACAATCTTCTCTCTGTTGGAGAATAGTTTTTGGTGGGATTATGGCCATGAGAGTTAGATGTATCCCTTACCTCAGGGCTTGTGGCTGTCACATAAAGGGGATTTCAACAAGGCACTGGGTCACCCTTCTTCTTTTGATGTGCTCTCTCATCATCCCTCTGCCATAGAGCCCAGCACAGGCATGAGCATACATTAGGAGCTGCCAAGGTCTGGCCTCTGTATACCTTTCCTTGCTTATCTCCCATATCAGCCTCCCTGTACTTAAGAGAAGGGCCCCTAATCAGGTTGGGCACATTACCAATAGAATCCCTAAGAGTGCCTGATTCTTTCCTTGCTGTGGTTACACTGACACCCCCAGGGAAAGGCCTGCTTTCCTAATAGCCACCTGATCCTGCTTGGTCTGCGGGTTCTCAGCTCAGCCCAAAGCTTTTGCTAGAAACGGTGATTCCGAGCTTCAGGCTTTAGTAAACGCTGAAGCTATACCCCTGAACTTGCTTTTCTGCTGTATGTGCCATATTGTCTTTCATCTCCACTTCCCTGTGCAAGGTGATGGTACCGCTGCTGTGCAAGCTAGTGCTAGGGCCATAGTCGTCTGAGGGTAGGTAGGGTACATGAAGGGACAAAGTGAATTTAGAAGCAAAGCAGGTAATCCTGAGTCTGGCCCCAACATAACCACTGTCAGGGAGCTGAGAGTCCTTGCTTTCCAGGGCCAGTATACAGGAACAGGAAAATACCCATAGTAATGCATCTTTTAGATAATCACCTGGAGCAGCAGTGGAGCAGGGATCACATATGGGCCACGGAAAAGACAAGCCCAAGGCTTCTACAGCCACGAGGAAGAGACAGAATACAGCATTAGGTGGAATTACTTTCAGGATGGCATCATATCACTAGTTCAAGTAAATCTGGAATTCCCCTCCTACCCCAGCTCTCATTCCAAGCATTACCCATGTAAAGACTGCTAACCTCTCCCTCCTTTCTTCCTTCTGGGCACTATACAGAGAGTGCTAGTCATTAGAGTGGAGGGGGGAGAAAGGAAAGAAGGGACTTCTGCTTCCTCTTGACCCACACACTCCTTTTCTGCTTCTTCTTTCCATTGTGGAGACATGGCATTGAGACTGAGCCCTCTCAGGGCGCTAGGAAAATAGTACTACCTCTTTCCATAGAGGAAGCTTCTTCACTAGATATTCAGGATCTCTGCCCATCGTCCACTACATCAGCTACAAGGAACCTCAACATGTTCCCTCTGCTGCCCCAGATTCCTTAGCTTACAAGTCAGGAGCAAACTCCAGGAGGAACTTGGGGCTGAGTTTTCTCTTTCCCAGTTACCATAGGACTTCTTTTCATCAGTGCCTGGGAGATGCCCATATGACAGCCAATGAAAGTACCCTTCATAGACCCATGGTTTGGCAGAATAAATTACATGTCTGTTTGGTCCGAAGGAAGTGGTAACATTAGGGTTCTCAAGCAGAAATTTACTTCCTTGTCCTGGGTTTCCATTTTAACCCATACCATTCCTTCCCCTGTCTTTGCAGGTAGTGACTTAGGGTCTCTGTAGATAGAACAGTGAGGGCAAATTGGGTATAAATTTGAGATCAGCGCATCAGGTACAACAACATAGGTTTTATTAGGGCATAAGAATAAGAGCGATTTCAAAAATATACCCTGCCTTCCACATGCTCTACTGAAGCCCAGGGCACTTCCAAGCCATCAGTGTCAACCAAAATTTCCCTTGATGTCCCGTCATGTTGTTTTAATTATAATTGACTGCTGAGAAGCTAAAACATAATTGGAATTTGGTTGCCAGGGAATTTGTACATACATTTTTTTCTTTTTTGCTTTTTGGTGAGGCAATTGGGGTTAAGTGACTTGCCCAGGGTCACATAGCTAGTAAGTGTCAAGTGTCTGAGGCTGGATTTGAACTCAGGTCCTCCTGACTCCAAGGCTGGAGCTCTATTCACTGTGCCATCTAGCTGCCCCCTGCCAGGGAATCTGACTGGACAATGATCAGATGCCTCTTGGCCCACAGACCTGGTCTTTCTCTTTAATGTTCTCTGCCACCAGTAGTTTAGCCCTCACCTGGGGTCTGGCTCACTATCTATTCGCCATCTGTCCTTAGTTTTCATGGGAGGTGTCTGGCTACCTTTAAGCTAAAAATTGTAATAAGGGTTTGGGTATTTTGAGGCTTGTAAAATATTTGAATAAGCTATGTATAGGTATAAAGCAGATTAAATTTTCAGCCTTCCCACTAGCCTCTGGTAGATGGATGTGGCATTCAACGTTTTAAGCCTGCCTTTCTCTTTGTAGTCACTGGCTGAACTGCCTCCACCTTTGTAATACTACATTCCAAAATATATTACATATATAGATTATGTAAGTCCACAAAACACAGATTATCAGACTGGACCAAACTGAGGGAGACCAGAGAGGAGAAAAATCTGTGGTAGCAAACAGGCCTTAGTCTCCCTTTAAGCAGTCTGCATTTACTACTCTGATTTTTGTTACAGTAGCTCCCTGATACAGCTGCTTACAGTTCAATGACTGTGACTGAAGTTGAGGAGGGAGACGAAAGAGGGCAGATGCCTTCCTTTAGGACAAACAGTATGTCAGATGGTAGTAGTTGGGATAGGAGTGGTAGCTTTCAGTCTAGCCTCATAGAGAGCAAGCGGGATGGATGATCCTTTTCTGAGGCTACCAATGAAAGGCCTTAGTGTGAAGGGCAGAGTCATCCACCACAGAGGAATCAGGGCTATGGGGTGAGACCATGTATGGCGATCATTACATGGTGACCCGGCCTCAAGCCAGCATCTGGCTAGAATCATAGGTAAAGGGTTGCCTTATGAATCAGGCAGTCTATTTCTGGGAATGAAGGGGGAGGGAAAGGCTCTGCCTGAAGTTCAGGCAAGCAGTCATACACAAGAAGGGAGCAGTCAGTTGTTTAGTGTTTGTAGAAAGGAGGGCATGTTAAACTCTCCAAACATGAGTAGTTGAAAGGCTCATCTGTCCATATTTTATTCTCATAAATTGTCTGCGCAAGATGAGGCTGAGGTCTTGATGGCCAGGAGGATGAAATAGATTGTTGGAATTCAGCTTTGGAATGGTTATGTGGACACATGTTATTGGGAGGTGATTCGTTTCACTGAACCAGAAGTAAGGAAACTTGTATTCTGAAAAAATGCTCCAAAGCCCCTCTTTCTCCTTCTATGCAAGACTCAGCTTTCAGAGGAATGATTCTGCAATCTTTACCTTTGTTCTGAACCCCTGGCCATATAGCAGCACATCTCAAACTTTTTGGTCTCAGGATCCCTTTACGGTCACTCTTAAAAATTACTGAAGACACCCCCTACCCCCATTTCGTATGGATTAAATGTATCATTATTTACCTTATTAAAAATTAAAATATCTTAGTTTCATCACCAGTGTGTTTCCCCCAACCCCACCCTCTGAAAGCATCTCAAGGAGCCCCCAGTGGTCCCTGAACCACACTTTGAAAACTGCTGCCTTAGCAGAGCTTCTTATATAGGGTCCCAACCCACAGTTTAAGAAGTGCTGAAGGGGTCTCAAGTGGAAAAAGTTTAAGAAGCCCTGCCCTAGAGTACTGTCAGCAAAGAGGGTTGGAAGATTGTAAGAGGTTCAGTAATAAAATAACTTCTTCCAGTTGCTGTGTTCCTTTCAGTGTAACCCAGAACTCTTTTAACAGGGAAAAAAAAAAGATAAAAATAGAACAGAGACAAAAGAGGAAAGATAAGAGTTGCTGAATTAATTTACTAGTGAGAATGAGGCTCCGCTTCATTAATGCTTGTTCAGAGTTAGAAATCATCCCTTTGTGGTTATAATAGCCGAGTTGCAATTTGTTATTTGTCTCTCCCTTTGAAGGATGCAAGAGTACCCAACTAATGACAGGGCATCAGCCATTTTGTGTGTATGTGGCAACTCACATTCATTAACAATCACCAGTTTAGAAGTGGTAAGCAGAGAAGACCAAGGCCTTGTTGTTTCTGTTATGTCCTCCAAGATACATTCATTAAAACTTAGATTGCATTTTTTTCTTATGCTTTCTCTCTCTTCTCCCCCAGTGTATGTGGTGGAAGACCAAAGACGAGATGACACAGGCCAAGCTGCCTGCCTCACAGCTTGCTGGACTGCTCTCTGCTGCTGTTGCCTTTGGGACATGCTAACTTGAACAGCCTCGACCTCCTTACCAGAAGGCTTTGTATCCTCAATCGATGGAGTTCTGAGTCCTGATCTCTTTCTACTGCTATAATGAATGACAAGTTCTGCACACATATCTCAACTGCAGCATAATGGAATCCTAGATTAGAAGTGATTTTTTGCTGTTTAATTTAATTTAGTGACATGATCTTTCTAATGTTCATTTTCTAATTTTTTTGTCGTACTTTAACAAATGTGCTAAATGATTTTTTTGGCCAAAGGCTTGAATATGAAATTTATATTTATCATTTTAAATTGTACTGTTCATGGCAGTGGCAAAATATGCAACAATACAAGCCACTGAATGATTTCTTTCCTAACTCAATGTTTCAATACTTCCTTGTCAATAAATTTTTCAAAAGTCCCAGTGTTTGTATTGATGCAATTCTAGATAAGACCAGAAATCAGAACCTCGGCGTATCTTTTCATTAGTATGAGTTTCTCTGTGTTTCTGGATAATACCGTAGGCACACACTGAGGCCAAGTAGTGTATGTGCTTAGACTCCAAAACCACTTCTGTTCATATTTCATCATTTAAAAACCAGGACAAAACTTTTAAAAAATTTCATCACTGGCCTGCTTCCAGCCTAATGACTGAGTTTGTGGTTGCCGTCTAGAAGATACCTCACCTTTCTATGTTAGTTATGTCACTGGCACCAAACTGGGTGGTAGGCTAGGATGAAGCCAAGGAAAGCGTCCTTGCAACCACACCAGTGCTTAAGACTAGCAACGGAGCTCCTCGGGCAAGTTAACCGATCCATTCTCATCCCCCTGTGCTTGCAGTATGCTTTCTGCTCAGCCACCTCAGAGCACCAGGCATGTTATATGCCAGAGTGCAAAGAGCACTAGTCTAGGAAGTCGGGGAAAACCTAGCTTCTAGTCCTCACCCTATCACTAACTATACTGGGTGACCAGGCAAACCACATCACATCTATCCACCTAACAGAGTCAAATGAAGTGCAGAATATAAACTGCTTTGCAGATTGCTACTCAAATATTGTGTGAGAAACACAACAGACACTGTGTTTATTCCCTTTTCTTCACCTCTGACACTAACCTCTGTTTCTCTCTCAAGCCTGCTCAGAGGCCCCTGCTGCCCTGATAAACTGTATTTTCTTTCTTGAACCCCTGGAGCTTACTGTCTGGCACGCTGCTTCAGAGGCAACACTGGCCCTTACTGTACCTTAAGTAACTGAGTATGTGGCTAAGTGGAGTTTGCTTTTCATTCTCACGATGGAAGCCTCCAGAGAGAAAACAAAGTCCCTGCTCTAACACTATCTTACAAAACATCTGCCCTCCAAGTGGTAATTTGATCCCTGAGTAATATTACCAAGTTATAGTATATATCCCAGCTCTGGCCACCAAGTGGCACCAAACCACTGCTCATGAGGCAAAGCAGTAAGGAACCAACTCAAGACTAAGGAGTCAATCTGAAGTTTCTCCTGTGTTCCCTGCTGCAAACGCTTTATTTGATCATACCTGGAAGCGGCCCCTCTGATAGAAATGTTAACAGCAAATCCCTACAGAGGTAGGGCAGGGAGTACAGAGAAATGATTCCTACTCTGCAAAGAAGACTTTTTCCTTATTCAGAAGGGGGGGGGGAATCACATCGTCACTGCCTCCAACAAATTCCAAATACTTATGCTTTCCCAACATTGACAAGGACATTGCAGTGTCAAGAGGCTCACTGTGTAAAGGAGATGACTATGGACCCCAGCCTTTCCTCGGACAGAACAACTAGCCTCCCTATTCTTATTTTATTGGAGTCCTAGCCCCAGGTCTTGCTGTCTAGAATACCAAGTCTGGATGGCAAAATCCTTTCCTATTTGATGCTGGTAGGCTCCAATTCCAGCATAGGCCCCCCACTGGAAAAATCTATTACAACCCTTATTTTCATCCCCTGTAGCCACAAAGGTTCAAAATCTGAAGAATGAAGTCACTTCCCTGCTTATTAACCTGGATAAGTAGACCCCTAACTCTCTTCCCTTTCATGTGCTATATTTAGAAGCAGGGTAGAGAAGTTTCTCAGGAGCTGAGGCTTACTCAAGGCAACCAAAAAGAAAGAGTGGGATTATAGGTAGAGATAAAGGAGGATCACCGGGGGATACAAAGATCTCATTTTCTTGGGAGGATCAGAATAGAATGTTAAAGCTGAAGGAAACTTCAGATCAACTTTCTCATTTTACAAAAGTGGAAACTGAAGCCTAGGAAAAAAATAAAATGAGGAAGAGAAGAGGGCTAAGCATGAGAGAAGGAAAACTTGGGACAAAAAGCTGAGGAAGCAATAACATTCAGTAGAAGAAATTCGGACAGCAAGAAATCTTGATTATTGAAGAATTATAGATTATAGAAGTATAGTACCTTTTCCTCCCATCCCCTGAGTAGCAAACCCCTTTAGTCATAGGAAAAGCAAACTTGAAAGAAGGGGATGGATACCTTTTATTTGTTTAACAAAACTGGTAACATTGGAGTCACTGAGCAAGGGGTACCTCCTCTGCCCAGGGCCCTCCTCCTCCTCTCACCCTCAACAGGTCATAATCAAGCCCCAGGCCAAGGATGTACAGTTGGCTCAGCCAGAGGTGCAGGAGGTCACCACGGTGAAGGCAGCAGCCTAACAATGGTCCAAATAAAAGCAAGAGTTTCCAAAACGTCCTCCAGGTTAAAGCACACCAGAGTCTGCTGCTCTGCCCTACCACCAGGAGCAGAGGAAGGGGGTCGAATAAAGGTTTTCTTGTGGTACATTTTACTGTGCCCTTCTGGCCATCAGCATTTCCCGAATGTTGTCCTCTGCATCCTTCACACTGCGCTCGAGGTATGATTTTCTCTGCTGTAAAGTGGGGGGAAAAAATACCATTAGAATCAGGGTGTTGGCAACCCTTGATGGACAATGAGGTCACATTTGTCCTTCAGTCCTCCAAGGATGTCCAGCTACTTACTTTATGCCATATCAGGCTAGGTAGGTACCTTCACCTTCCTCCAGTAAAGTACTGGGAGCTTTGGTGGGGCCAGCTGCCTCCATTCCCCAAAACCTTCTCTTCTCAATGCCCAACATGCCATGCCTGAAGGCACTGACTCAGGTGGGCCTGAATAATAACAGGAACTGTTTTTCTCAAAAGCCAGTTTGCCCAGCATGAGGGAGAAGACTTGGAAGAAGTTTAAGAAGTCAGAATGATTTTAAGTGCTTAACCAAAGATACAGCAGAAGAGGGCTGGGGAGACGTAAATGCCTGACTGACCAGGAGTGAGGGGTTACTTGGCACAGGAAATATAAGACTGGCAGCACAACTCTTCCCCCAGAAGGAAGTTAACACTAAAAACAAGTGTCTCGAAACACTGAGGCTGTAGCAGACAGACAAAGGCCAGGAAATTCCAGGACAAAGCTCCTGCCCCACAGCAGACTGTCTCCTCTCAAGGTTTTCCATGGCCTGGGCCAGGCGCCTGATGAATGCAATAGCATCAGCAGCACTAAACGCTGTGCCGGGCAAGACCAGCTGGTCTCAGAACACCAAAGTTATATCACACCTCACTACCAAAACTTATCATTTAAAGCTGAATTCTACTACTTTAATTAAATTACCACATGCCAGAAATCTAGAGCAAAAAGCCAACAGACAATTGTGAGTTTAAAGGAACCTTCAGAAATTTACTTCTCTTTGGGTCCTCTGGCTAGAGAGCGATTTCTCTCAGCTTTTTCCTTCAGAAGCCATATAAAAGAGATATAAGAAGATCTGCTACCTATGGACATTCCAGATGTCTCCATCTCCTTCTCTGACCGCAGATCCTAGATAACAGCAGAAACAAAAACTACTTAACTCTCATCACTTCCCAGGGTTCAAACTTTTTTTAGAATCCAGTCCCAATTATGCCACCATCCTCAAGATCCAGATCTCTGGAGATATTTAAAAAAGAGTCCTCACACCAACCCTGTGATGAACAGGGAAATCCATACTGCTAATGAGAAAACCGAGAGGCACAAGAAACTCCTCCCCCAACCATTCCCTCTTTAGAATATTTTCTCATTGTCTTTGTCTAAAGTCTGTTGTGACTTGATTAGCATATCTTACCAGGCCTAAAGGTCAAAAAGACAATGCCCAGCAGTGAAATCTTTTTGCTTCATTCTTATTAAACGTCTTTTTAGTTTGTAACAGTGGAGGCCTTAATCGGCCCTGGATAGAATCCTCCCGGAGACTGATCAAGGTAATGGTTAAGCTATGGGAACAGTACCCCTTTCCCCACCCTAGACTGGGCTGAATAGTTTTTGGGAAATGATTCTTCATTGTATACTTCATTGTATACAATTGTACTTACTATAGGATGAATCAAAAACTCCGCCCTTGGTAAATCCTCACTATGGAATTTTGTCTTTGTTCTTGAACCTAAGCGCTCTAAGTGAAATGGCTTGGGTCAGAGACTTTTATAAGCAAGATGGAACTTGTCCCTTTGTATTTCTCTATAAATATGCTCAGGACTTAATAAATTTTCTCTAAGAGACCCACTGGCCAGGACGCAAAAGTACTGAGTTTTTGGGGGGGTTTTGTTTTTGTTTTTGTTTTTTTCATAGAAGCTGAGAACTAGCTCATGGACACGGATAGAACCAGTAGTGTAGAACCACGGTTTCCCGTAACTCTGGTAGACAATAAATATTTATTAGTGCCTACATATGTGCCAGGCATTATGCTATGAGCAGATCATGATGTCTCCAAGGAGGGGAGGATACATAAACCTCTCTCCACAACACCCACTAAATTAATGGTATACTCTATAATCAAATTCCTGGGAATTTAGGAATGCAAAATAAAATCTGTCAGTTAATTAACTATCTGGCATGAAGCACAAGCACTAATCGGGGCAAAGGGAAATAACTCCTAAAAAATTTACCTTGTCAGGAATACTTTACCTTCTTTCCCTTAATCAAGTTCTTTCCCTGCTTCACTTTTCCCCATGTCCACCACATATCCTCCTACCCTACCACTCATTAACCAAGCATTTGGGCATTTACCCATAGTGTTGAGTATTGTAATGTCTGTATGTACTCATGTAAATTCTGTAGCTTTTGTCCTGTGTTCCAGTGTCTTGTCTGTCAAATTCCTTTATCTTTAATGCATCTCCTTTTTGTGTACCCCAACAAGACCTTGAACAAAGGGCTTAATAACTATTGTATAGTGATCATGATGATCATGTAGGGGCTGCAAATGTATCACTGTCACTAAGGATTTTCATTTAATTACATGAGTAAACATGATACAGACATATCAGTGCCATATCACAGTGGGAATTTAAACTTCCTCTGTTAGCTACGGAAAGATAAACAACCCTTAGACTTTGCTTTTGATGAGTAAAAAAAGGAGCTTAATATAAATAACTCCTGACACATCACTAAAGAATGCACTGCAGAGAATGGGAGTCGCAGCTCAGAGACATCACCGTGTGCCATCTGGGCATCGTGTGCATCTCAGTAGTACAGGGGTCAGTGAGTCAGAGACCAGCACAGCTAAGCAATCCGGAGACTGCTGGACCACCACACACTATTCTTATGCCCAACAGTTTTCTACACTACATTTCAATAGTCTTTTCATACCAAATCATCACAACCTCTTCCTAGAGATGGAGGGAATCAACACCCCACTGCACAGTAGAACCCAAAAGTCTGTATAATGGAAATCAGAAGCCCCAACAATAAAAACAGTAGAACACACTGAAATGTTGGTATAGTTGTTATAAGGATTTTTCTTTTTCAATGGGGGAAAGAGGCTGGAAGGGGACAGAATTAGAGGGAGAGAAGGTAGGTTTTCATTACCTGAAAAAACAATTATTCTTAAAAATGGATTTTAATTAAGAATCACCAAAGGAGATGGGGGGAAAAAACAACAACAAGGGATCAATGGTTGTGGTGGTCTCTCCCCTTACTCTGCACATATTATTCCTAAGCTACAAAAGAGCTATGAGATGTCTCTTTAGAAAGCAAATAGGTATGTAATGGTCATGGGGATATACGTGGTGCCCGCTCCTGCAATGAGTCCTTTAATGTGCCCAACTCACATAAACTGGGACAGCAGATCAGACAAGCCAGGCGTTACTCAGTCCCACAGATGGCAATATGAAGAAGATTCCAGCAAATCCCCTAACTCAACTTTTTTTCTGGAAATGACTATCGCTAGGAATGGCCTCCCCTAACTTCTGAAGTTATAACGCTTGTATCCATAGCATGTTCCTTCTGTCACACTATTACTGGGAACTCCCAAATAAGGACTAACACAGCTGTACCCTCTGGCCCTTTATCTGACCTGTACTTCTGAGAAGAAAAAGCACTAAACACAGCTGAATACACATGAGAACAACTGGGCTATGTAATTCTACCATTTGAGTCAGAGGTTCTATTTAGAGATTAGTCTGTAACTGGCTTAAGCAGAAATATCAGAGGTAGTCCTCCAATTAATGTCTCAGCACTTCACTAAATAGAAGTAAATATGTCTTTCAGGTATCATCTGCTACATGGATGCAAACATCATGTTTTTTAAGAGTAATTTCCACTGCTCACTTGCTCTTAAAATCCTGTACAATTAAGAGATCAACATTCTGCTCTGCACAACTTTCCTTATGGTCACTAAATCACAAACTGGTTTCAAGGTACAAGTACATAACTGAATATGTCCACATTCCCAGACCTTGTTACTCTGAAATTAAATGTAACCAGTCCTCCTTTACCCTAACAGTATTCTTTATACTGATGTTATAAACAGTGCTTTCAGCGAAAAGAACAAACAGAGTCTTAATCCACTTCTCCATCAGATTTTTCACAATTCCATCAGCAAAGTCTACTAATTTTACTCTATTTTAAAGCTCTAGGTTTCAAATGCATGCTCCACATTCATTTAATTATCAGGAAAAGTGCCCCACTGATTTCCTGATGGCTAAATGCATGTGCGTATTGAAGACATAAATGGACCTCCGTGATACTGCCCTTCAACACTTGTCCCTTCCCGGAAATGGTTTTCAGTGTTTCAGATGCCCCATAATGCTCACTTCTAAGCATGCCACTGTTGTTCAGTTGTTTCAGCTGTGTCCAACTTTGTGACTCCATTTCGGGTTTTCTTGGCCAAGATACTGGAATGGTTTGCCATTTCCTTCTCCAGCTCATTTTACAGATGAGGAAACTGAGGGAAAGAGTTCAGTGACTTGCCCAACTAATAAGTGTCTGAGGCCAGATTTGAATTTAGGAAGATGAGTCTTCCTGACTCCAGGCCCAGTACTCTATCCATTGCAACACCTAGCTGCCATAGCACAAATTTAATATTTACTGAAATGAATACTTCAAAAATTGTAAAACTATTGGCAAATCAACCTTTCTCTGATGGGGAAGAGGGGACCCTGAAAGTTATTAGCATTTCATCATAAAGAAATATAAACTCCAAGTGGACTCCCAAAACACCATTCCAATTCCCCTTGGGTGTCGGTCTAAGGAACATTGGAAGAAAGATTCTACCTAAAGTCAGCTGCAAAGGCTACAAAAAAACAGGAGAAGCAAAGAGTACTGTACAAACCCCAGAAAACACTCTACATCAAGATTATCCTTTAAAGTGCTGGAAATCATTTGCTCTCTTTGTTTAGTACATGACTGACATACTAAGCACAATTCCCACAGACTCATAAACCCTTTTCTTCAGCAAGTTTTCTGATTGGCACCAAACGACCAGAAACCACAAACCTCTGGGTGCACTGACGTGCTCACAGTGCCTTATGTCCTGACATGAAATACTGAGATTTCCTGTGGGGGCTCAAAGTGATCAAGGGGAAATGGACATTCTTGAAGTCATTGCTCATCAGCCTG